CTTGGGCCACTCTCTCTCAGCCCTAGGAAGGAGGCAACGGCAAACCACTTCTGAAAAACCTTGCCAAGAAAACTGCAGGGGCTTGTCTAGGCAGTTGCCACGAGTAAAAAAAATGACTCAAAGGCACAAACAAAAAAAATGAGAAAATTATATGGTAGTGATTTCACCAAATCATGTATCAAATAATCATTATTAGAATGGTGACAAAAATGGAGAAATAAATACAAAACACATTTTTCTATTCCAACATTCATATGACCAAGATAAACCTTATATCTATTGTTTTATGCTGCATTACACTATAATATTTCATTTTTATTAGGTTTTGGGCTTGGCCTACTGTGTGAACCCAACACAGTAGTCTCCAATATTTTTAAACTGGGAAACAGACTTGGAATCCTGAGGCTGCCATACAGGCATTCTTACAAAACAGTTGCATGCTGGACACGGCTAGACAAAATATTTTTCCCTATATGGTGGATCACAGTTAAAACAATGTGTGAGCGTTATCATAACATTTCAGTTTATTCCTCCAATGTTTTTAAATCTTTATATAAGCTATTATTGTCCTGAAAAAAAAATCCTAATAGACTTAAATTGTATATCAACCACTAGTTGCATCCTAAACATTGTAACTATTATTTCAGATTAATCAAATCAGAATAAATAACTAAATATAAACTACAAGCAACATGGCACAAATACAGCACAACTATGGACCATCACAAGATTGCTTGCATGTTAAGAAAACATGCACATGCAGACATGCATCTTGTTAGAACATCACCTTCGGGCAGCTGGTTAGCAGTACAAACTGCTTCTTAACATTGGGATTTTCCTAAATTCCATTTTGACCAGTTAAGTGGATCCAACCTCTGATGTTAAATCTTCATTTTATTAAGAAGCAAAAGTGGGGTAATTAGGAGAGAATGAAAAAAGAGTGAATAGTAAGACAAGCGAACAGATAACTATTTGTTAGCTGACAAACTATTTCAAAGTACAGCTGAGAGTATGTCTATAATAAGAAAAAGGCAGCTTTAACACAAATGAGGAAGAAAAAATACTGTGAATACTATATTCACAATTTGTAATAATGCTGTGCTATACTAGCAGAAAGTCATATAATTTAGCTCTAGGAACCAAAGAATTTGATTTAATTACTTCATCCACTTCAGATCCATCCTATTCTTCTTCTTCTGCTTGCCTTAGATACTATTTTGTTATCAAGCATATTGAAAATTCCACATAATTACTTCTCCAGTGTACAAAAATTTAAAGTATCACAAAAGCCTCATACTTTTCAGAGTGAAGGATAAGAATGTAGTAACAGGAGAAAAAAAAATACTATTACATAATGTATCACGCTTTCCCTGTAAGCCTTTATTAAACTGACCCAAGTATTGCTCCCACTCAGTCAAACTGGGGAAAAAAATTCTACAACTTTACCATGAATTGTTATTTTAAGTCTGATTAATACTGACAAATATTTAATCCAAATATTTAATAGGTAATTTAAAATGCAATCCAAACTAGTATTATTGATTTAGCTTCCCTCATGCACTACCAGATTTAAGCCACAGGTATATTTGCAGATCTAACTAAGCTTTATAGTGCATACCACTGGTGCATGACCACTGGCTTTTCTTCCTTGATTCACAGAGTTTGAAAACAACTGTCATTCATTGTCTAAACTTTATTATGTCACCCACCACAACTTCTACTTGTTATTACCAGAAAACCAAAACAAATACCCCAAAGAAACTTAAAGCATTCTGGGCATTACTTTATTCACAGACTAAGCTTATGGACAAGTCAGTCTAAATAACCATTTCCCAACTTTTTCCTTCATATGAACCACTACATAGAATAGAAGGTTTTTGTGAATTGCAACAAAAAGCAGGAGACAGCAACCATAGCTGATGGTTATCATGGCATGGGACTCCAAAATTTTTTTTTAAAAAAAACAAATACATTTTTAAAAGGCTGAAATTTCACAAGACATCAGCGTTCTTGTCTGAAATCTTATAAAATTTGGGGTGAAAATATCAAAATCTCATGGCTTTTCAAATGACAATAACATCATCTTTATTTTCAGGTCTACACTACCATCCTCTACAACAAAGGTTTTCAGGCTCCAAGAATCTGGAGAGAGGAGTCAACAGTCACACTTGCATGCACTCATAAAGTTTTGAATAACACACCATTGGAAAACCTGTAGGGGCAGGTTGGGGTCAGATCATCCTAGGAAATTCTATCTATGTAGTTGCTCAGAGTCAACTTGACTTAATGGCAGATAATTAAATACCATATGAAAGCAGTCAGTGGACGGGACTATGCTAGGGTAAAACATGATTTCTTTGAAATTTGCTTATCATGTTATGTGAACCTAGCTGCTGTTGTTTGTAAACCATGGTTTATGGCTCAGGACTACAAATGAACACAGACCATGGTGTAATACAATGTCCAACTCATGTTTTGAATTCTGTATCTTTTTTCCATCAGAGAGAAAAATACTTTAATTAAATTTTCCAGTCACTGAAGTTCTAAATGGGAGGGATATTTTTCCTTGAAAAAAGCATCTTACCAATCTGCTTTTAACTGACCTATTGCAAGGACAGACACACAGACCGCAGCACTTATTAAGCTCTGTCAAGTTCCTTTCAGCTTCTTTCATGTCTTTGTTTATTTGATCCATACCTTCTTCTATGTGGTTTAATTTTTCTAGTAAAAAAAAAAAAAAGCTTTAGAAACCTTAAATGATGTAAAATGCTTACCCTTCATAATATAGGAAGGCCTGCATTCAAAATGCTTCTTAAAAAGCATTTAAAAGCAGTTTAAGAGGTGCTAATGTTCTGGAAACCACTGCAAGCCTGTGGAGGATGGCCATCCCTGTATCTGGACTGCATTAATTATGTATCTTTATTATATATTATTATGAAATAAAGAATTCTAAACTTTATGATCAAAGATGTCACATTGTTCTTTTTTACACATGTGCAACTCACCGCCTTGTTCATCTAGCATTGTAATTGTTTTGATTCCAGCATCTTGGGACTATAATGGAAAAAAATAATGAGAAATACAGAACGACTACACTGTGGAATTAAAGACTTTCACAATTTACTATAGGCTATTCGGCAGAAATACTAGTAAATAATTATATAAAATTTTGTTAGCATAATATATTTGCATTTATACCACCATGTAAAATTTTCTTCCAGGTAGAATAAAAAAGTATCCCAACATTTAAATTTTGCAATGCAGGTATAAGTACCTGGTGAATTTGTTGCTTTCATTTGTTGATCCTATGATAAAATTATTATTTCCACTTTGTATAAAGTTGCAGTATTACTGCTCTTTCATCATGGAAGCTTTCTAAGCAAATCTGAGAAATACACCCACATATGCAATACCTGATGAAGATAATGCACTCAATTTCATTTGGTCTTCTCCACCTGATTCCAGCCCCAACCCCCCAAAAGCTTTTAACTTCCTTACCTCAATGGCCATCCCAAGGATCCTCCTTGTGCTTTCCAAGGACTAAAATAAAGACAGATTACATTTCAGGCATGCTGATTTTTGAAGATATGTAATAGTTACATAATTTTAGACGTTGCTTTAATTAATTAAGCACTACAGTATACCCTTGTATCTGACATAAAAGCTTGCTTAAGTTGTATTGTCTTGATTAGTGATATTTTAAAACTCAGCATTAGCATGCAGCCAATATTTTCCAGAGAAACCCTCCTTTTAGACTGTGCAACTCCATCCAGCTGGGAATCTAAAAACTTTCTTATTGAAGAGTGAAGTTTGCTCTACTGTGGCTATGGTGACAGCAGGCAGAAACAAGTCATTGGCAAGGCTCTACCGCTTTCTTACAAGCCTGGTGGCACTGCCCATTGATGGACTGTTCTGGCAGCGTGAAGAGGATGGGAATGGAATTGTTGCAATGGCAGTTCCTCTCTTACGCTTGGCCTTTCTCTTACCTTCTCTAAGGTAAGGTGCTTACAAAACAAGCCACCTGCTAATCCTGGAATGGCCTTGTGAGGCTAAAATGCGGTCTCTGGGGAGGGAGGAACACTAAAGTGAGGCTTTTATAATATTTCCATCTTTTTTTCTTTTTTCTTTTCTGTACACCAACCTATTGTTCTCTCCCAGTTTTTTTTTTCTTACTTCCCTTATGATGTCCCCACTATTCCCTGTTGCACTCCATTTCTTCCCCATGTTCTTGCTCTTCTCCACTTTTTCTTTCTTGGTTCTTCTCTTCTGCTTCTATTCAGGCATCATGCTCCTCTCTGCCCTATTTCACCTGTTGTTTGCCCAATTTCCCACTTCCAAGCCCAGCCCCTTCGTCCCTTTTTCTATCCTCAAACCTTTCCCACCCCATCTTTTCTCCTTCCTTGCCCCTCAGGCCACATTTCAGTCTTCCTCAGCTCAGAATCAACCTTTCCTCCCCTACTCAATAGACCAGAATCTAGTCCCCCTTTATTCTTTCTTGCTCTCAGCCTATGATCCACCCTTCCTCCATCTGTTGTTGTTCCTATTAGTGGTACAAGGGTACAAATGAAAAGGGTTCATGATAAATGGTGTTGGGTATACGAATATGTAAAACAGTGTCTGAGTATTACGGGTGCATGTACGGGTATGTGCACATGTATAGACTGAAGTTCCCATTTGACTACAGAGCACACTGGGTGATTTTGGGCCAGTCATTCTATCTCATCCTAAACTATCTCACAGGGTTTCCCACATTGCCCAGGGATGAGAATAAGTGTGAATCCATTAAACTTTTTATTTAATTTCAGTGGCCCAAGCTATATATTTCCCTGCCCATGTTCCCCCTTTCAAAAGCATGTACAGCCTGCCAGAAGTTGCACGTGTCCTTAACAGCCTCAGAGTTCTGCAGACTGAAAATCAAGCCCTCAACACTTATTGGTTGCTGTGCTAAGAAGGAACTTAGCAGAAGCAGTTGTTTCCACAGGTTAATCCTGAGTTTTATATGAGAAAAATTCTTTAGCTTGCAGCATGCTGAGCTTGCAGAAAAGAAGCCAGAATGGGTTTTGATAGTGTTTTTGCACGAGAGATAATTATTTATTTATTTAATTTTGAAATAAAATTATTTCTAATTTTTAACTCACTTTCTAATTCTATTCTGTAGGCTGGACTGGGTACAGAAAGTTTAAAATAAGGAGACATTTATTCTCCTTTTCCAACCCTGACTCTGTTCACTTGTAACATCTACTCATCCATAGTTCAAGAGGACTGTTAGAGTATAAATACTGCCAATCTACACCAGCTCTTTGCCCTATTTCAAGCAGGAGGGAGGCTGAGAGAGTAAGAGAATGGAAAGATATTTTCTTTGCAGCAGTTTTCTGTGATGGCTAGAAGTCATCTGGATGGGCAGAATCAAGTAACTGGATGTGATATTGTATACAATCAGCTGTAATTATTTGCAGCTGTAGAAGAATGCTTTTTCAATCTATCTTATTTCTAAGTTTGATTTGGAGCCTGGGGATGACTACTTCCACATTTGGAAACGTAATTTCAGCCTCAGTTACTAATGTCTTGTCTTACTGAATCTCTTTAGGGTTTAAGAGACAGACCTGGGCAGGAAGCATAAATAAACCATTTTTTTTTGCACACTGGGCTATGCATGACTCTCTCCTTTCAGAAAATTTGTTAATCCTAAAAAAAAAAAGTATCCGTGCTTTCTAAGTTCAAATAATTTAGATGATTTAAATCTTCCCCTCAATGCAATATTATCAAAGCATTGTAGGATAACCAATTAATTTTAGTGGTGGTCACGCACTCTAAAAAGCTTTTCTGCTCAGATTACTGGAAACAATGTATTATTTGAGATGTTTACCTCATCTGTAACTTGATGGGCTCTCAGTTGAATTTCTTCAGGTGATAACTCAGCCATGTCTGACATATATTTTCCACTGTCTGACTATTCACAACAGGATTTCTTCTGTAACAGTAAAGTATCAGTGATAAGGGTATAATCCTGACCAAGTTTAAGTAGTATAAGTTCATTACAAATAAATGGTAAGGTGTGTCCTATTACATTTATAATCAGTTCAGCTGTCAGCTTTCTTGGCAAAGAAAAGAAAAATTTTAAATTTCAATATTAGAATATTCTACAAAAAGGACAATTACATAACAAAATAATTCATGCATTTATTTATTTATTCATTCATTCATTCAATTTATATGGCCACCCATCTCAACAAGTGACTCTGGGTGGTGAACAGAATTAAAATAAAATAAGAACAATTACAAGCATTGCAAAAGTTAAAATGCAAAGTAGCTGAGAACCATTAAACCCAAATTACTAATGCAACCAAAAAGTGGGTCCCTGCACACACTCGGGGCCCCAGGCCCAAGCCCAGGACTTTAGAACCTTACAAAAGGCCAGCAGGGTGAAGGCCATCCTGATCGCCAGAGCACTGAAGTCTTGAATGGTAGAACTTGACTCAGTTTGAGCTGTATCCAAATAGCCTATGCTATATCTTTGTTGCAAAATAGCAGTTTAAGTAAAAGTTACACTTCTACATGACAAGCCAGGTTAAGAAATAAGGAGAGATCAAGTTTGGTCCAACCCCCTTCTTTTACCAATTGCTTCTCACCCAGATAGCCTTCCATTCCTTCTTACCAGATTTGAACCTAATCTAAGAAATTAATTTCTAACTTTTTAACAATGGAAACTATTTCTAAATAATCCAAGACATACAATTCCCTCACTTGTTCAATACTACTGCTTTCTGAGGGTCTACCAACCCTTTTCAGATATTAATTAGTAAAAGAACCACAACTGTTGGGATCAAACAAAACTTGGATATCAAGTATTGTTTTCTTCCCTAGAGTAAAATACATTTCTAGTGAAGCAATTTTCTAAGTGCAGCAGATGGGACCAAACAAAAGTGGCTGAAAAGTATTGTTCTTTATACTTCTGATGCAGGATGTCAACATGGGTAACAAAATGGTCATTTCCCACATATTCAACAGTAGCTTCAAAAGATCTTTTTACTACAGTAGTGATTTTAGTATTTGAAAAAGAAAAGAAAAATATTCCAATTTTGCTTTTCCTGGCAATTTTCAGAGACAGCATTCACAATATTTTGTTGCAAAATGTTAATAGAAATTAAATATGAGGAACAGAAATAGAAGCATCAAAAAAAGGACTAAAGGCACAACAGGTAGAACACAGTATGCACCTGTAAAATAAGATGCAGAATAAAGAGAATCATAAGAATTACAGGAATAGTTTTAAGCTGCAGGTCCTATTATATTTTAAATTTATTCCTCCACTACAAAAACCATTATCTCCCAATTTAATATTTAAAACTTTGTATAAGCCTCTTATATTAAATATATGAAAATAAACGTTATCCTATGCTTATTTATCTATAAATTCAATTCAGAATATAACAAAACCTAAACTTAGAAATAATAGCTTGATAGACCTTTAAAATATATCTTTACTAGTACATTCAGTATTAGACCAAGACTGAATAAAGCAGTTACCAAAAAAATGAGGTCTCCAGAAGCCACTCAGATTAACATTGTATATCTCTCATCTTAGCTTTCTGATTGACAATTTGTTCCCAGACTCAAGTTGATGTTCTTGATGTTTAAAGCTCCAAGAGATCCAGGAACAAATAGTCTCTTACCTTCATTGAAACCCTAATTTTTATTCTAACATGATTAGAAAATAGACTACAGTAAAGACCTGGCCTTTGCAGTTGTGGCAATCTAAGGTGGAGTAGCTTCCCCAGTTGTAATCCACCTTGGTAGCGGTGGACAACAATGCACCCAGTACACATATGGACAAATATCCCCGTACCCATGAAATGCCTAGCTAATAGTCTGCAACTCTACTTCTTCGATTACTTTCAATTTTTAGTCCATAATAAATAGTCCATTAGTACATTATATACCAAATATTCTTTTTTTTTAGGTGGGGGGGTTGTCCTCTATTATAGACATTGCTTCATTTCTGTGATGTATTTGCAGAAAGTGCAAATTAAACAAACTTGTTTCAAATGCTGCTGCACAACGCCAGATCAGTCAATAACAAAGCCCCCCTCATATGTGATTTGATCATGGAGGAGGGGGCAGACCTGGCATGTATTACCAAAACCTGGCTGGGCCTGGAAGGAGGAGTAGCTTTGTCAGAAATGTGCCTGGCCGGGTTTCGGGTGTGGCACCAGCCAAGATGCCAGGGCAGGGGAGGTGGGGTGGCTATGATCATCCAAGAATCTCTTGTGGCCTTCAGGGGCCCTGTTCCACAAGTAACCAGTTGTGAGACCCCATTTTTCAAGTTGGGGGCCCATGATCAGTTGGGAGTGTTGCTGCTGTACCAGCTTCCCTGCTGTGTAGCAACCTCCCTGCTTGAGCTGCTGGAGGCCATCTCGGGGGTGGCGGAGTCCCCCAGGCTTATGGTTCTGGGGGACTTCAATCTGCCATCCCTGGGACGAAACTCAGAGGCAGCCCGGGAGTTCATGGCCACCATGACGGCCATGGGCCTGACTCAGATTATTCGGGACCCGACTCAAGACAGTGGACTCACACTGGATTTAGTCTTCTTGTCAGAGCACTGGCAATGTGACCTGAGGGGAGAGTTACATCTTTCCCCGTTGCCATAGTCAGATCATGCCCTGGTGGCCTTGAGGTTCTCGCACGTCACCCCCCTCTGCAGGGAGGCAGGACCTATTAGGTCTGCCCCTAGCAACTGATGGACCCATTACGGTTTCAGAAGGAGCTGGGGGTTATCCCTGAGGTCTTGCTGCATGGTCCAGTGGAGGCTCTGGCTGTGGCCTGGAATAGGGCAGTGGCCGAGGCCTTGGACAGGATCGCGCGTGTGCAGCCTCTCTTGCCCATTCGAGCCCGTCGCTCCCCATGGTTTACGAAGGAGCTGAGGGTTCTGAAGAGGGTTAAGATATGCCTGGAGTGCTGCTGGTGGAAGACAAGGACCGAACCCGACCGAACACAAGCTAGAGCCGCGGTTAAGGCCTACCTTGTGGCGGTAAGAGCAGCGAAACATCGGTATTTCTCTGCTCTTATTGCATCTGCAGAATGACGTCCAGCAGCCCTGTTTAGAATCACCCAATCCCTGTTGGGGAGAAGGGGTTCAGAAAATCATCTACAGGGCCATGATGAGGAATTTTTTGAGCATCTGGAGGATAAAGTCACTCACATCTGTTCTAAGTTGGACGCCAAGCATGAGGCATGGTCTGGTGAGATGCCCGGGGAATGTCTTTGCCGAGTTATCTGGGACCAGTTTGATCCTGTTGGTCCTGAGGAAGTGGACAGGATCCTCCAAACAGTAAATGCCACCACATGCCCTTTAGATCCATGTCCCCCCCCGCCGGCGGGGGTGGGGGGGGGGGGGGGGGGGGGGG